AAAGAAAGTGTTGCCCACAGGGCTTCATCTTGCCCTACTAATGGCCACAACCCAAAATTAAAGTTTGCCTTGACACTCTTGCTCCTTGTGAAGAGCACTTTCATGTATTCTCAGCATGAAGGCATGTTTTCTTCTTTGAGAAACAGAGTGTTTGCTGTGCCTGTAAAATACCAGGTGGTTCTTTAAAGCACAGAGGCCCGTTCCAAGACTTAAAAACAAAAATGTTCCTGGCTCCCAAACACACAGTTGGTCCTTGGTGAGAGAGGATCACTGTACTGGTGACAGTGGCTCTATGGAAATGTGGCTGTCACAGATGGGTTGAGTCATTTAAGCAGGCTGTACTGGAGACTTCTCATATAATATGACTTAGCTACTCTTTCCTTATCGTCAGGACTAGTGGGCAGCTACCTCTTCCTTCTCTGGGGTTTCAATTCTTTTTTTTTTTCCTCTATCAGTCGCTTGGGATATCATTCCCTTTATGACTTAAGGAAATGGGCTAAAATAGGCCATATAAAATATAAAGTGAGCGAGTGGAGCAGCTTTTCCCCAAAGACCAGAAGGAAAAAACTCTGTGTAAAACATGTGGAGGCATCAATTTCATCAAGAAGAAGAAAGAGGAGAGGTGATCTATTTCTTGGGCCAGTTTATGCAGGGGATCTTTCAACATAAGGCAGCGGTTGTGATCAAAGAATAATATCTAACAGAACAGCAAAATAATATCTTTGTTGAATTCATGTAGGTGGATTCACCCTCCCCATTTCTGCCCAGCAAATGTGGTTTGATGTGGGTCTTAAAACACAAACACCTATTTGCCAGTGTATTTGCTGGAGTGCTCGGTTTTATGGACCGGTGTGGATCTGAATAGGATCTGAAAGCGTGTTGCTGTGCGCCGCGCTGACAGCCCTTTTTCCAATCTGGTGTAAAAGGGAAGCTCTGAACAATGGCAGCTGCACCCGTGCTCCTCCTGCTTTCCCGCTTCTTGTCTGCATAACATAAGGCTGAAATAAAAGCAGATTTTATTTTTAGCTTTGCTTTTAGAAACTGCCCTCCTTTTACCAGGTGTTGTGTGGCTTTACAGCTCTCCAAACCTGTATTGGCGACAACTTAGCATGTGATTAAGGTGTTGTACCAGGGCTATTTCTTTAGCTTTAGCTAAAAGTGAGATCAGCCAAATCCTGGTAATGAAAACAGAGCTTTTTCATTTGTTGGAATGAAGACCTTTTTTCATGTGGTTTCCTAAGGAAGGAAGGCTTATGGGATTGAGTGCTGGTCCATCTGCTTTTCAGTTCACCCGTAATAACTTCTGAACAATTTCATCCAGATTTGACAGTGAATTAAAGTCTTGAAGAGAACTGATTTCCTACAAGTGTCAAGAAAACTGTTGGCTGGCTGGAGAAGAGAGACAAAAATAGGTGTCCCTGCTGTGTCCAGCCTAGGCTTAACAATAATCTGTTCTTAGGCTTTTGCTAGCCAAGTTACCAGTGTGTGCCGGCTGCCTAGGTATTACAGTAGACTCAGAGCTTTCCAGAGCCTGTTACTGACCTTCTCTTAGGCAGAAGTTGAGGAGTCAGATGAGGGAAGTGAGGGCATAGGAGATCCCGTTGCCAGGGAATTGGAAATATTACGAAAAGGGTGAAAGCAATGGGAGCTGAGGTAATTGGATCTTTCACTAGTTTTACAGTGGATGGAAAAACACGCTTTTTAGATTCCTCACAGTCCTGCAAGTTTGCAGATCTCTAAATTCTAATAAATTTGTCTTGTCAAGGGTGGATCTGAAATGTCTGTCTAGCTGTGAAGTAGCCAAATGATCTGAGAAACTCAGCACCTAAGTGGAGCTGGACAGCTATTTTGTCAGAAGTTTTATCACCCAAATGCTGTTTTGAGCTAGATGAAGCAATTTTTGAATTTGGAAGGAATTAAGTCAATAGTCCCAACCAGAGCAAAAATTGAGAAAAAATGCTGGAAATTTGCATTCTCAAACTAAAATATTTCATTCTTCCAGGCTCAAGTTGCAATTTAAATGAGGCTCTTTTAACAAAATCAGAGTGGAAAATGTACGGGAGGTGATTCCTGTAATGTAATAATGGGGCTGCATTTGTGTGGAGTGTAGAAGGTCAAAGTTCCCAATACATTTTGCAAGAATTTGAATTTGTGCAATAACTTAATAATACACACCGATGCAAAACCTCTTCCAATCTCTTGCTTTCGGCAGGAGGGGGACTGAGTTTTCCAGGCATTAGCTTACTTTCCCATATTCACAGTTGGCAAAATATTTGCTCAAGGTCTGAAAGCAACACATCTTTGGTGGGAAGGGGAAGGAAACGCTGCCTGGAATTATTCATTGTCTGTTTCTCTGTTTTTCTTTGGTTTCTTTTGTTCTCGACGTGAGCTGGAGATCCGGAGCGTGAGCTGGAGATCCTGAGCGTACTTGCAGTCATGAGTCAGTGACAACCTCTTGCTATTATTGTAAATAGCAACATGAATGCTGTCCTTGCATGCTTTTTTTCACAGGCTTTGTCTTTCACTCCCAACAGTTTTGCCAAGGAATGTGCAGAGCTTCTGAGTCAGCAATCAGCTGCCTCGAGACAAAACATGCAGGATACTGCAGACTTGCAGAGGAGCCAGCGGCACATTCAAAAACTCTGGCAACCTGGCAAATTTTCCTTGCCTGCCCTTGCTTTGCCTCCTGTAATTTCCGTGATCTCTGACGTGTTGCTTTCAGGTTCCAAGGGCTTTGGGTGTTTACATCAGGAATGTAGAATTTTGGGGAGTGACTGATTGCAGTCATTGAAGTTTCCGTGCAGAAGCAGCAGCTCTATTTGCCCCGTGGATATAACGGACTTAACAGCCTTTTACGAAACGGGATGTCAGCAGAACTTCAGGATTAATCTCCCACTCTGACTGAGCTGTGTAAAATGCCCTGCCTTTTGCAAGCTGGCCACCTGGCTTGGCAAATCTTGAACGCAAAGCATTAAATTCCTAGAGGGAAAATAGATTTTGTTTTACCTTCAGGAGCTGCCTTCGCGGTGCAGAGATGCTGCTCTGTCCTTTTGTCTGGTGAAAGAGTAGAACAGTAGCAAGAATGAGTCCTGTGTTGTCCTTGCATCTGGATAAATTAGTAATGGACTGCGGACTATCAGGCTTAACAGTAGTCTCACTGAATTTAGGTCATGTAGCTTTCACTACTTACTCTTAGGAAACATTTTGTGAGTCGTTTTAAACGCTGGTGCAAAGCAAGTGTTTTGGTGGTAGAGTGCAAGTGACAGGGGAAACAACTCAAAATGCTGCTCAGCCTGCACTGTTGTGCTGATTACTGAGGCAAGGGGAGGTACACTTTGTATATTTATTGCATCTCTGTCACGTAGATGCACCCTTCACCATAAGTGATTTGCAGGAGTTGTGCATAATGTTGCTCTTGAGAATGGAAATGGGGTCGCAGGCTAAGAGCACAGTGTCTTTGACCTCTGGAGGTGTACAGTGCTTCCTCAGAGAAGCCTGGAGCAAGTTTCCAGCTCCACAGCAAGGAAATTCGTATTAAAAACAAGGGAAATAGTTAGTTCTATAGTGCTTAGTGAGTAGTGCTGATATGGACATGATATCACTGTCATAAATACAGCTTCATTTATGTTGTGTTCTCTAGGCAGTTGTCCTCTTGAGATCAGAATTGAGTTCTGCCTTATAACCCATTCTGACTTCCATAGGAGATTTTTTTTATTTTTAATAATAAACATACAGTTTGGCACTATTTGTAAGGATATTGAGGTCTCCTTTGCTGTTTTAAAATATGACGAATAAATACCATGTTAGAGTGGAATACAGGAGTGCCCAAACAAACTGTTGCCGAGCTGACATAGTGGAGGGGAAGAGACATGAACTGTAATGTTTGACTTGGCTTCCTGTCTGCTGGAAGCCGGAAAAGAGCTGGTGAGAATCTAAAAGGTTTTATCTGAGTCTGCATATTTTCTTTTTTTTACCTTAATATCCTTTTGAAAAAAAAATAAAAAGGCAAACACAAAAAGCACCTCAGAAGTGATTTCAGTTTGATAGTTTCAGCATCTGTTTTAAGCTAAAAGCATGGCTTTGAATTTATGCTGCCCTCCTGTCTGAAGATATTTTTTTTGGAGAGAAGAGGTCCTGCAAATCAAAAGAAGTCAAAAACCATGGGACTAGAGGAAATAGCATGATTATTCCATGGGAGCAGCCCATCAGCCAGATTTCACTGCATTGCTACTTATTAAGATAGGAATATGCACATATAAACTAGGTAAGACAAAAGTTTATACTGCTTAGGGCAACACATATCTCCCAGATGTTTCTTCAGTCTTGATGTCTCTCTTAAGCATTTGATTGCTATTAGAAGATCTAACTTCTTTCCAGGAGTGCAGTAGCTGTCGTTCATTGCTTTCGTTGAGTTGCTGTGCAAAGGTAGCCTTTGTAAGGACTGAGCTATGATATGCCTATTTATGGGAAGATACATGTCCTTTTTGAATGAACCCAGACTTACTTTATTTGTGGATACTAGCTCTTCAGGACTTTGTGGTAGCAGCCATTTTAAGACCAACACATTACCATTGCAGTGGTGTTAGTGGTGTCATCACAGTGACTGTTAGATTAATAATGGTGTGTGTACCTTTTGTTTTAAAAGCTCCTCCTGTTTCCAAACATCATGTAACACCAGCCAGTTTGTTTGAAACTTCTCCGCTCTTCGTGTGAAAGAAAAATTTTGAAAAAAAACTTTCTAGAGGATGGGACAGATAAGTGTTTTGTTATGGGGATGAGATGCTCCACTGTTTGAACTGCAGCTCAGTTAGCTCTGGAATGTAATTCATTGCCGTTGGACAGGAATCTTGGGCGTTTTGTTTAGCTGGCTCATTTAGGGCCAATGCCTTATTAATTACTGAGAGTTTGCACTTTCGGTTCAGTAGGCACAGCCATAAGTTTGAAAAGAAAAACAAAGATCAAGCTCAATTGTATTTTGTCCTTTTTTATTTTGTAGGTTAATAATGCTTGTAAGCCAGAGGTGAAAGTGGCTCAGCAGTGCAACATCAGGAAGTCTGGCAGACTGGAAGAGAACAGCTGCCCACTGGGGTGGCTGCTGAGTGTGAAGCATGGAAGAAACTAAGAATGAGAAGGTGAACCAGGCTCATGTTCTCTTTGACAGATTTGTCCAGGCTTCAACCTGCAAGGGGACTCTCAAGGCTTTCCAAGAGCTCTGTGATTACCTAGAACTCAAACCCAAGGACTATCGTTCTTTCTATCACAAACTCAAATCCAAACTAAATTACTGGAAGGCCAAAGCCTTGTGGGCCAAATTGGATAAGAGGGGCAGCCATAAAGACTACAAGAAGGGGAAAGCATGCGCCAACACAAAGGTAAGGAGAATGATCCTCTGCAGAGGTTTATTATGGGAGTCAAGACAACTTTTTTACCCAACGTATCTCTGAAATATATAAGAGAAAAAGTGGGATGTAGGAAGATGTTCGTATGCTATCCCTGTAAGACCAGGAAGATTACGGAAGATTATGGGGGAAATATGTTCCACTTAGGATATTGTCAGTCATCTCAAGATGCATGGACTGAAGTTAAATTCTCAGCTGGACGCTAGAAAGGGCATATTAGTTTCTTCATTGTTTATTCTAATTCCCTTTCCAATTACCATTTTCATAGTAGCATTGGATAGTAGCATTTATCATGATTACAATAATGCAGCAAAGAATTTCTAATGAAGCAAGGGCTGGTTGCCGCAGGTCAGGTGAAAAGCAAATCTTTCATCAAAAAACTTACAAGAGATACATAATGTTGAAGGTGAATATAGATTAATGTGGAAAGCAATAAAATAAGTAGTCGGTGTTGGCACGTGTGGTGGACAGTAGCTTCAACACTCCAGCAGTCCAATCAGTATGAAGGGTTATTTTTTTTTCAGGCACCTTGACAAAGGAAGATTAGTATACTCACTTTTCTTTATATTTAAGGTAAAGCTTCTAGGGTTACTATAGACATCACGGGAAAAAATATGAAATTAATTCTTCTGAAAACTTACGTGCCCTGCATTAATTGGAGTCAGGAGTCACTGCTCTCTTTTGAATTAAACATGTAGGATAGAAGTGAAACTGTGTGGAAGGCTCTGGAGTGAAGTAAGAGGCTTATGTTTTTGTGAGAAAGAAAATGAAAAACTTGTGGAAGAGTGTAAATATATTTTGACTACATGGAGTAAAAGTGATTTTGTGTCTGCTTTCTGAATAAATGTATTCTGAGTATATCGTAGTGGCAAGACTGCATTTGTTCACACAGGAGAAGAGCTCACATCAGTAACAGAGGAGCTATGAACAAGAGATGTAATTGAAAAATAACTGCTTGACTTAGATGTTGCTTGACCTTGAGAGCTTACAAAAAAGAAAAAAGATTTCAGGGGAAGTTGACATCCAGTTATGAATGACGTTCAGAAAACTGATGCTGACGTGATCTAGAAAGGAACTGGTGAGGTGAGCTTAGAAGGTAGCTAGGGCACCATTTTGTCCCGTTGGGCTTGAGCCGACAGTTAGACAGCCATGAGGAGATGTCAGGAAGGTGAAGATTTTAGCTTGGACAAAAATAAGTCAAGTCCGAATTGGAGAAAGTTCTGTGGCACTCAGTGATCCTGTAGGTGAAATAGGAATGAGATAAGCAGAGAACATCATAAACATCTCTCAGTCATAAGTTGCCCTCCTTTGGTGATGAGAGAGAGACCTTGGACGTGGCTGGCAGAGCTGTGGAGCAGGAGGACCAGAGCAGGAGGCATGGTGTGAACGTGCCCAAGAGGCCTCCGGACGGAGCGGGGGCTCCTGCCCTAGTGCTCTCCAGTGTGTGCTCCAGGGAAGAGGAAGGAGGTGGAGTGAAGAAAAGGGAGGCCAGCCATGGTAATTTGCTGGTGTTTCTGAGATGCTATTGGAGAGATGATATATAAAGCAACAGTAATAAGAGTAGAAAATGAATGATTTAAGGTGGCAAAAGAAATACCAGAACACATAGGACTGTGGATTTGGGATTCAGGTAATTCTGAGCAATTGAAATTATATAGATGAAAGGAAGTGAAATTTAAATAAATATTTGCTTTGTGTTAATACAGGTTAATGAATATACCTGTGGTTATAAATCACTTTATATGAGTTTAAATGTAAACTTTGTTGATTTGTCTTTTATGTAAAGAAATGATGCCTGTATGTGTTCTTTTTAAAATTCTTTCTTGCCTATTACTGGCAATTACTTCTTTCATATCCTAATAGCATCTTCTACTAAGTACATTTATATAATTGCTGAGAAATAATCATAAATATTCAAAGCAGAGACCTTTTGAACGCTGTGTCGTATCTGATTTGATGTTTGTTATATCACCTGGTTTTATATCTCTAATTTTAATGACATTTGCAAATGACTATTTAAAAATAAAACAGGAGGTAGGGCTCTGAACATGATAGAATGTAAAATAAAGATTAAGATTTTACCCATATTACCAGAGTAGATGTCTCTCATTACTGTAATAAGCTCAACTTTTAAATGTTTGAACATGTATCAATTTTCAAGAAATTTCACTATACCTGAGGCGATAGAGAACAGAGGCTCTGTGAGGGTGACAGAGCCCTGGAACAGGCTGCCCAGAGAGGCTGTGGAGTCTCCTTCCCTGGAGATCTTCCAAACCCACCTGGATGCCACCCTGTGCCATGTGCTCTAGGTGTCCATGTTGGAGCAGGGAGGTTGGACTAGATGAGGTCCCTTCCAACCTCAATCATTTTGTGATTCTGTGAAATATTATTTTTCCCATGACAGTAAAGAGCTGATGTCATCCTCTCGAGTTCAGCTCTTGTAGGGATTAAGTGCCAAGAGCAGGGTTTTGCCCATAGTACATTATGTAGCCAGTGCCCAAATTAACCAGAACTCAGATCCTGGGGATATGGGTCATGAAAGGAAGAACTGCATGTGATGGTTTGTTCAGATATAAATAGTTAGAGATTTTTTTTGTTTTATACTATTCCCTGTGTCTGTTTAGCCAAGGCCCTCAAAGGCGGATAATTCTCCTTTCTTCTTTGGCTATAGGGGCAATGCAGATTTCAGGTTACATTTGCTGTTACTTTGCCATTTTCACATTGATACTGAAAACTTAATAAAATGTGTCAAAAAGGTTTCAGCAACAAATGTTTCTGAGAGGTTGCTGTAGTGCACAGGGTTGCAGCAGTAGGTTTGAGTCAGGATGGGGAGAGGAAGCAGGAACAGCAGTGACTGTATTTATTTACTTGGCCATAATTGACACCTTATATATATATTTACTGCCTTGGAGGGTTTTGGACCTACTATTTTTATGGAGATCTGAAACTGGAAAAGCATCAGAAGGGAAAGGGGGGCAGAATCCTTTTTATTTTTTCTTTTCTCTTTGAATTGTGGTTAATATTTCCTGTGTTTTATGACAATGTAATTTAATAATTCTGTCGAGGTAAAACATGGCAAGCATGGCCATGAGTTACTTCATATGGATGTGATGTATTTTCCACAAAGAATGTTTAGAGTCTTAAACATAGCCTCCATGTTGTCAATCACATCCTCATATGTGTAAAAAAGTGTTATAAAAAGATAAGCTTTTACATTTCTGTGGTAAAATTGCTGGTAATTAATTTACAATTAGGTTCACTGGACCTGTGTTTGAAAAGTCTGGATTTAATGTAATTCCTTTGTTCTTGTGTGCTCCGTTGCTACTTTACATGAGAAAGGATTCAAAGTGATGTTAAGGTGGACATGTTGCTTATTGAATCTAGTCTCTTTGAAGGTTGCAGTTCTCAGATAAGCAAAATTGCTGCCATGATCAAGCATGCAGCTAATTTTCTTACAAGGTTAAGACAAAGAAAGACTAACTGGAGTTAGATTTATCCACAAAGGAAACAATAATGCGTTGGAAGAATATTTTAGATCCTAGGCTGTTACAACTTCCAGCAAATTGCATATTGGACAATGTTTTATTTTTATTCAGGATAAAAGTCTCTTTAGAAATTGAATTGCAAATAGCTCTGTTCTTGGGCTTGTCTTTTTTCTGTGTGCCTTCAGGTTCCCAGAGCTACTGGATAAATAGTGTTATCCTTCACTTCCCCTTCCTCTAGACTTGGATCTCTGCCCTCATGCTCATGTGACCTTTTAATCTTACTTTGTATTTGCATGTCAGTTGTTACCTCTTCGTGACTATGAGCTGAACTGTTTTATTTCCAAATTTATCATTCTGGCTTTATACTTGCGGTTACATATAATTTGCAGAATACATGCCCAGTGAATAGCTAGCAAAATGCAGTGAGCTGTAAAAATGGACATATGGAGACTGTGAAAGAATAAAAATCTTTTATTTCAGAATAGGAGGTTAGATCAGAAGTTTAGGTTCTGATTAAGCTTTAGCATGCTGCTGGATTTCTCAAGTGACTTTGTTGTCCAGCTCTAAAGCTACATAAATATCTGAAAAATATTCACATAGCAGCATCAGTCATCACTGCAGGAAGGTGTTTGTTGTGTGGGACTGGATTATACTTGGTAGAAATCAAAGAGCAAAAATGATATGGCAAAACGGTCACATGCCATCTCTGTGGGCCTCATTTGCTCTGAGGAAGCAGTATCAATAGACTCTTCTTGCTTTTTTAGTCTTAAAATCAATTATCTTTATTTTATTCAAGAGATTAAAAATCTCTTTTGTTTCTCCAAAGAAATTACTAGCACTAGGTATGCAAGTGTTTTACATTCTCTGGTTGTTTTTTGGCCTCCAATAGTGTTTGCGAGTAGAGTGGAAAAAGACACAGCAAGCTGAAAGACCATCTGGCAAAAGTCAGTTCAGAAAAAATGTCTCTTAATTGAAAAAATGGTCTAGTCAGTTACATACAATTTATATTTACATTGTATTCAATCCTCTGACTGATCTTCTATATTTAATCTTTGACTTGGTCATCATCCGTGCTACTGAGAATGATGATGCTTATAAAACCAATCATTACTATGCTACTTGGTGATCATGAAGAGTTTTTAGTGTTTAGTGTTGCTCAAAATTTTCTGTAGGAAGGGCAGCTTAAGTTTTGGAAATGAGAGAAAAAGGTTAGATCACCTGCTCTAATAACATAAGCACATGGATTGAATTGGGAAGGAGGAGGCAGCCTTGAGCCCTCAGAAATACTGATGCTGTCCAAGTACTTAATATGGGTTATAGACTACAGCTTGGCAGCTCTTCTTAAAATGAAGGTTGAAAACAGGATGATTTGAGGAGGATGATTTGCTGCTTCTCCAGACTTTCACTGCTGTGTGATACACTTTACTTGCAGGTTTCAGTTACTGTTTCCACGTCAGTGGCAGAGCATGGCAGGTGGTAATAGAAACACTGATATGAAATTTCAGTTTATGTTGCAAAAAAAGAACACTTACTCCTAAGAGCTGTGGGATGCTTTGAATCTGTGTTAAGAATAATGTTTTTCTCCTCGGACTTTAAAGTTGCTCTGTACTCGTTGTTCTGCAGTGTCTGATAATTGGGGCTGGACCCTGTGGCCTTCGTACAGCCATCGACCTGTCATTCCTAGGAGCGAAGGTGGTGGTCATAGAAAAGAGGGATGCCTTTTCCCGCAATAACGTTCTGCATTTGTGGCCGTTCACCATTCACGACTTGCGGGGTCTTGGCGCTAAAAAGTTCTACGGCAAATTCTGCGCGGGATCCATAGACCATATCAGTAAGTAGAGCCGCTGCTGGCCCGCAGCAGCACTTGTGTTCCCAGGAAGGCAGGGGTGCATGGGCTGCCCGTTAGAATTCAGGCTACACCAGGTGCTGCTGGCTCCGTTGGCTGCAGTTCAGCATTACCTGTGCGTAGCACAGTATGAGCTAGCCCTAGATACGGGAGAAATACATCGTATTGAGATTAACAGACATGCAGTTTATACCATTTACCTGTCATCTTTTACACCTACTATTTTCAGAGGCTTATCCTCTTCTTACACTGAAAAATGCGTTTAAGGTTCAAAACCTTTTTTTTCAGTGGATAATATTCCTGGTTTTGATGTTATAACCTTGCAGCTGCCACATTATTTTGGTTCTCTCAAACATAGTAAGCAAGTTGTAAAAAAAAAAAAAAAAAAAAAAAAAAAGTGTTTTTTAACATTCTTTTGAATAATGGTTTCAAAAATAAGAGGTACGGTTTTGACATTGTTCGCTGTTAATATCTGCATTTTTGAAAGAGTGCTGAAAATATTTTCAGGAAAACTGCCAGCGTCTGAATAGGCTTTGATTGGATTAGAGGTTTACCTACTGAAAAGGAGGGTAATTTTGGTAATTCTTAAATTCTGATAATCCAGTTTAAAACCAAATGACTGCTTCAGTTATACAGGAGTTATTTGTTCTCCGGTTTTTCTTTCTTCTGTAATTTACTGAAGATTCCACAACCAGATTGTTTTGCCCACCAATCTGTGTTGACCATTTGAAATAAGTGGGGAAAATAAAGTGGCAGAAATACAATAGATAAAATTTAGCCTCTTGCCCAAGGCAAAAAACCCTCTTTTTGGCAAGTGAAGAGTACAGCTGAAGGACCTTTGGAATTTCAGACTTGCAGATTGCTTCTTTTCTTCCAATTTCTCATTATTTTTATTCTTCCAGTACTTCATAAATGCAATCTTCTTTTGTATTTCAGTAGAACTGATATTTAGTATCATTTTTTTCATTTCAGTATCTGCAATATCATAGTAGGGTGTCTTCCTGCAGATTAGTAGTGCTTTCACATTTTCGTTTCTGTACGCACTGCTTACACTTATGTCAGAAGAGAGAAATGGTGAGAATCTTACTATGCTGTCACTAACCTAAAATTCATAGGGTAAAGGTGCAGCTCAGTAGTACAACTTGGTCGAACATATGGCAAGTTGCTACCTGTGATAAAAGTGCTGTCTTACTTGTGTTCTCTTCCCTACATCCTCTGCATTGCATGTTCTCATTGTTTCCCTTGCTCCGATTTGGGGACTGAAACATTAAAAAAAATTACCTTCTTTGGGAAGGGTTGGAGTTTCTGCTATATAGAAGTTTTTTTTTTTTTTTTTTTTTTGCATACGAGTGGTGCTTCAATGAAAGTGCCAGGAAACACAGTGGGAAGAAGAAAAAAGCAGTTGGTCCTTAAATCAATTTATCAGTAATATTCAACTGTACAGAGACACGTGTATGTCTGTGCCCTTTCCTTTTTCCTACCTTTCTTTATTATCTGCTTTCTTGCAGGTATCCGTCAGCTCCAGCTTATCCTTTTGAAGGTTGCCTTGATCTTGGGAATTGAGATCCATGTCAATGTGGAATTTCAGGGACTTGTTTACCCTCCTGAGGATCAGGAGAATGAAAGCAAGTAGAATTGAAATGGGTAGTCAAGAAAGGGAAGGTTATGGTAGGATAACCAGACTACAGCTCTTCAATCCTGCTTAAAACGCTTAAGTCCTTTCCATACACTCTGTTAATGAGAGTAATTGTTAATTCACTTTTGCTCTCATTTATAGCTGGTTTTATTCTTTCTAGTGAAGAATCCAAATTTTCTGCTATATAAAACAAAATACACGTGAGGTACTAAGCAGAAATAATCCAAGACGCAATCAATCATACTCACTCCTAAAATACTTAGACTTATTACACTTAGAAGATAACTTTTTACTGCCCTCTCCCTTATTTGTGTTCATTGAGGATGTTTGCATCAATTGCCTACATGTTTTTTATAAGTATTGTTGACAGGCTTTTACTGAGCAAACAAGTCCTGTGCCAGCTCAGTCTTTGACTTTGCACATATGTTGTTAGACAAATCAATTTAAGCTTGTAGTGATGTTTGTTACACTTTTTGTATCTTTGTGAAATCTCTTTTCTGATCTCTGCAGAAGATAGTGCCTTACTTGTTTTTTGGCATTGCATTAATTGAAAAGTGTAAGACGCTCTACCAGGTTGTAGTCATCCTTAAAGATACTTATCAGGGTGGATTTATTGGGGCTGACACTGCCTGACATAGTGCATTCTGTAATTCACTTGGAAAGAGGGTGTCTGTGCAGGTCAACAATACCCAGGTCAACAGTATGACCTTCCTGCACTGTATCTTTGTTGACCATGTGAAAAATAGCTTGTGGGTAGTAAGAAGTGTTTTCATATAGGTTTTATGTATTTGTTATATTAGGTGCACTGCTCATGTTGTCACTGACCTCAAGTTTCTCCACAGGGATAGGTTGGCGTGCATTGGTCCACCCAAAAACACATCCAGTATCCGAGTATGAGTTTGAAGTAATAATTGGAGGGGATGGCAGGAGGAACACCTTAGAAGGTAATGGCTTTTGGTAGATCCCTATTTTAAAAGATTCTGTGTTTATTCACTTTGAATAGAGCTTACTCTTAATTTGAAGTAGATATAATCAGAAATGACCCTCAATGTCCAAACGAAAAACCCTTAAAGACATTTGGCTGGTGCTAGGGAGATTAAAAAGGCTGCAGAAATCCAGTTGTATCATGGACAATAGGTGAGTTGTCTTTTTTTTAAATTTTTTTAATCAAGTAGTGTTAAAACTCTGCTGATGGGAGTTAGAGCTGAAGTGTTACATACTCCTTTGGTATAGTAGAGGATTCTATCTTAAAATTTTTGATGAAATTTGCAGTCTTTGGTAGAAGAGAGAGGAGAGCTTTTCCCTAACTTCCCTGTTTCATTTTCCTGATGCAGTTATTCGAGAGTTTTTGTTGCTTTCTCTGTGGAGGAGTTGGTAGTACGTTAGATCCTTTCTCTGCTTTATTTTATGAAGACACCTATCTGTGGCATGTTGAGTCTCTGAAATGATGCTCTTTTTGTCCACATTATTTATCTGTCCTGTAGGGTTTCGCCGAAAAGAGTTCCGTGGCAAGCTAGCAATTGCTATCACAGCAAACTTCATCAATCGCAACACCACAGCTGAAGCCAAAGTAGAAGAGATCAGTGGTGTGGCCTTCATATTCAATCAGAAATTCTTCCAAGATCTGCGAGAAGCCACAGGTTTGTCAGCAGTAGACAGATTTCCAGTGAAAACTATTTGTCTTTATTGTTTAACCTTTCTGTAAATCTGGTATCACATGTTTAATCTCTCTCTTCCAAGTTTGAGTTCTTTTATAGCTTTTTTATACGGCTGTATAAAGCAGATCTATGTCATTGTTGCACAAAAATGGAGAACTTATTTCCTTGAAGGTTTTCAAGAAAGCTGAGCCCTTCCTAAGAAAAGTCTGAATCCTGAGTTCAGCTTTCTGAACGCCACATCTGATTGCAAACTTTAGAATGATGATAAATATATATTTTAAAGAGAGGTAGCTAAAGAGGTAAGATATACTGTTTGTGGATTTGTTGAAGATTCATTTTTTTAAAACTCACCAAAAGCATAGGAGGAAGCTGCTTGGCATTCTCCTAAAGGCTTTGTAACCATGTAGTTTCAATTTACTTTCTGCTGATACAGCTAATGTCTTGTACAAAACATGTGAATTTTCCTCTTGTTTACCATGTCTTTTGTTCTCTAACAAGGTATTGACTTAGAGAACATTGTCTACTACAAAGATGATACCCACTACTTTGTTATGACAGCCAAAAAGCAGAGCTTGCTGGACAAAGGAGTGATACGGCATGTGGGTATTAACTTTTTCTATATTCTCTCTAAAATAAAATTTTGGCAGAGTTTGTTTTTTGGCATGCTGAAAGGCAGGAATACCCTATTGCTTCATACTACACCTTTTTTTACAGACGCATTGTAAAATGCAGATATGTGTGATTAATGCCCCTCTGAACTATTTTGATCCATCAGGAAAGTGTTCTGAAATCTACCGTGTCCAAAAGATAAATTATACTTTCAGAATCTTTCACAACTTTGTTGAGTCTCCCTCATTTTATGGAAATGTAAAAGCAGGGAGTGAAGGAAATCTTGGGAATATACCCACCTTATTCTGGCAGAAATTGCTGTACAACTAGTTTGATCGCAAAGGAATAAGTTAAGGTTTCCACATTTTATCGGAAAGTGTAATTAAAAAATATTCAGAAGTTTCTTTGCTCTTTCACTTTCAGAAATGCTAGTAAGGCTGACAGTTGTTTGCAACAAAAGATTTAGAAATTTTGTTTTGGAAGCTTAGACATAGATATAAATTAAAGAATGTAGAAAGCAAACCTGTATCTGTGGACTAACAGAAATGCCAATATCAACAACTGCATGTATTAGTCTTAAAATACCCTTGTGAATATGGCTATTTCACTTCTAGTGGTCTTTTTGACAGGACTATGCTGACACAGAGTTATTGCTGTCACGGGAAAATGTGGATCAGGAGGCCTTGCTAAACTATGCCAGAGAAGCAGCTGACTTCTCCACTAATCAGCAGCTGCCATCATTGGACTTTGCCATCAACCATTATGGTCAGCCAGATGTGGCTATGTTTGACTTCACGTGTATGTACGCATCAGAGAATGCAGCACTGGTGCGGGAGCAGAATGGCCACCAGTTACTTGTGGCATTGGTTGGGGACAGTCTCTTAGAGGTTTGTGTTTTAAGCTCATAATGTGTGAACAATGAATTAAGAACAAGCCCGAGCCGTTTGTATCCATCTCTAAAATATGTGCTGCTTTCCCTTTGGCCTATAAAATAGTTATTATGAGGAAAGCTGCTGTTTATTATATAATAATGTGGGAGGTTTGGGGAAAGGATAGGAGTGTTGGGAAAATAGAATATTTAACACCAAAGAAAGTAAGCCAGAGAGTTTCTGAAGCTATGTCTATTGCATCTGTTCCTTATTGGGACAGTTAAGCTCTCTATGGAACCTATTGTAATTCCGTTAATTATAAGCATTTTGTAATTTGTTAAAAAGTATGATCTTGAAAAGAAGCTGTTGAGACACTGCAGGCTATAAACTGTTGTTGGAAATAAAGGAATGTTGACTTTGAGGGAGCTCTTGGCCAAATCACCATACATCTGACTTCACCTAGTGCAGTGGGAGTAGAGCTTTTTACTAATTACTGAGCTATAATTTCCCAGCAGATTACCTCCTGAATATATTCTTGATATTGATTTTAAATTCTCCTTCCCCAACTGACACTTCTTTCTCTATTTTTTTTTTCTGTGACATCTAATATTAGCCTTTCTGGCCAATGGGAACTGGAATAGCCAGGGGATTTCTGGCTGCAATGGACTCTGCTTGGATGGTACGAAGTTGGTCACTCGGAGCCAGTCCTTTGGAAGTTCTTGCAGAGAGGTAATAGAGAAAACGAATACAGCTTCTAATCTAAATTCTCCAGCCTACAAACTACAAACATGCAGACAAAATGTGAGATACAGATTCTTACTCATGTTTTTAGAGGATGCTTATGTGTGTAGTTTCATTAAAGGAAAATCTCCCAATAACCTGAAAAACTGAAGTATATTTAGACAGGAAAAAGAGATGTCGCAACTGTTCTCTGTCTGTCACAGCCTTACGGTAGTGAACCAGAAAGAGATGTAGGTGCCTTCAAAGTATCAAAGACACAAACTTTCCATACCGTATTATAAATCTCTTTATTTCATGTGCTCTTTCTAAATTCATAGTTTTGTTTCATATAAACCAAACAATATCTTGGGCTTTTAGTCTTTTTCTTTGTATTATCTTTTTTTTTGACATTTTTATTATCTTTGAGAGTTGTTTTAGTGGCTCAGGGTGATCTTTTGCAGATCGGGACTCAAGTTAGAAAAAGGTGATGTAAATAAAATCAACCTTTAATTGAACCTCTTATAAAAATGTAAACAACTGCAGCTTTTGACTATCATGAACCATAGCTTTTGAATTGGCACAGTGGATACTTAAAATATTGAAAAAAAAAGTTGCAGTTAGCTTTGTACACTTGCTTGAAATTAATTAATTTATTAAATATTTCATGATGGAATGTATTCTAAAGAAATCTTATTAATAGAATTTTTGTGACTTCAAAATAAGCATTGGAAAATCATTTATATTTTTCAATATATATATTTTTTAATTTAAAGATCACAGATTTAGTAAAAGATGAATAGAAGTTTGACCTACTAGGCACCTAAATGATTCAATAAGTGAATCTGGAAATCTGATAAGGGGTATACAACCTGATCAAACTGATTCAGTTGTCGTTACTGGGGAACTGAATATTTTACCTTGTCATATATATTTCAGGCAGTTTCTGTGCATGTTATTTTTGTGTTGGGAGACTCTCAATGGGCTTGTTAGTGAGTCATGTAGTCTTTAACTTAAACCAGAATTTATTTACAGTTTTGAAAAAGTTACCTTTTAGTCTCTTGTATGTCAATAGTACTGCTGTGCCACATTTATATTAGTAATTATGTTTTCATTTTTATATAACTACTAATATAAAAGTCCCCTTCTTGTTTTCTAATTCGAGAACTGTTATTGTGTAATTTAAAGGCAGAAATCACAGAATCAGATAAGTTGGAAGACACTCCTCAAATACAGAGCTTACCTGCCCCTTAGCTGCCAGAAGTCTGTTCAGTACACTGTTTTTTACATGATTGTGTTGGTCAGGAACAGAAGATCACCCCATTCTTTTCATTTTCTCTACCAGATAGAGTTTGTCTTATACCCCCTTTCACAAAGGCTTGTGTTTTTGTTTTTGTCATAACTGTAGTAATGTTGGAATTCCCAATACCCATATAAAAGCCTAATTAATTTTGAAAACTGTAATCTTTTGGCATAAGTTGTTTTTTTTTGTGTTAGTTGTTTCCACAGGTCCTCTTGCTATCAGAGTGAGAAGTTAAACAGCGACATTATGATAGATTTATTTTGATCATACCCGTTCCTCATTTGTATTTCATCATGAATGTCTCTTCTCTAAAAAGTTTCAGCTATTCATATAACTTGGCTATTTAATCTAATATTAGTTTATACTGTCTGTCTGTGGACTGTTTATTTCTGGTGTGTTTGGTTTGAGGTAAATAAACCTGAAAATATGGGGTTCCTGAAAATATATCAAGAGGGTATCCTATTATTATATTGTAGCTTTATAGAACAACTTAAGTCGAAGAGAATTCTGAAGGTCACCTTGTCCAACATCCTTCTAAAGACTGGTTCCAGCAAGGTCAGGTTGCTCAGGGCTGTGTGCAGTCAGGTTATGAGTATCTCCCAGTACAGAGATTCCACAGTCCTTCTGGATACCCTTTCCAGTGTTTGACCACTCTCATGATGAGTTATTTTTTTTCCTATATCTAATTGGATCTTCTGTGTTCCAACCAGTCTCCATTGTGTCTTGTCCATTGCTGTGTACCTCCAAGAAAAGTCTGTTTTCATCATCTTGTCACAATACTTGCAGATAGCAATTAAGTTTTCCCTTGGGTCTTCTCTTCTCCAGACTGAACAAAACCAATTGCTTGAACCTCTCCTTACAGGGCAAGTGCTCCAGCTTCCTTGGCCCTCTTCCCAAATTGCCCAGTATGTCAGTGTCTGTCTTGTACTGGAGAACCTTTCAGTCATGCTTCAATGTATTGCTTTTTTCCCTTCTTCTGATTTCCAGAGTTGTATTAAATTGTGAATTTTGATATGCTTAAGTCTTAGCTATTCAATACCTGAAGTGGCTAGTTACCAGATGGAATGTTCTATCTCGTCAGGACTGGTATAGTGGTGTTAGTAGTGATGCATTACTTGAAAAAAATCACTTTTACTTTATCTATTTTCCCAAGGGAAAGCATTTATAGGTTGCTGCCTCAGACAACCCCTGAGAATGTGAGTAAAAACTTCAGCCATTATAGCATTGATCCTGCCACCCGATATCCCAATATCAACGTCAACTTTTTGCGGCCACAGCAGGTAATTGGATGAATAGTGATTTAAAGTGCCTGTAATCTGCATGGTCTTTCTTTAGATGAGGCTATGTTAATGCTTTGGGACTGACTTGTCTGTGGTAGTTTAACTTGGAAGCAGTGAAATGATGACATATCCACCAAGAGTGGAGTTCTATATTCTACCAAATTCCTCTTAATGTAGGCTTTTTTATCAGCTGGGTTTCTGATTTTGGCAGTTTTAACCATGCTGTGATGATATCTGAAATATATGTTTGTGTGTGTATGTGTGTATTTTCTTTGTAGTAATGTAATATAGGTGTCTGTCATTGCAATTTGGTATCCACTGATGAGCAGAACACAACTTGGCTGTTCAGCACTGGCGAGTTGTTCTTCATTGTTCTTGGGCTAGATTCTCCTGCTATGTGAGCGTAGTTGTCTTCATTCTTGGAACTGCTCCTTCTTTTCTTCCTACTCATTCTATAAGGATTTTGAGTGTATCACATGTTGATCATTTTAATTTTTTGCATTATTTTAGGTGCGCCACTTGTATAATACAGGAGACTTGAAAGATATTCACTTGGAAATAGAAAACTTTGTGAACTCCAGGACACCCAAGCTGACTCGGAATGGTAGGCCTGGTTATTGTTTCATTCCTTTTGTTATTCTGGAGCTGGATTAGTGCAAGATACACAGAGCACTGAGGTTCTGGAGTCTTGTTTAATCCATCTCTTTCTAGCAATTCTTTTGTTAACAGTCTAACTTTTATTTTTTTCACTTTTTAGTTACATGCCACTGCATTTTGTTTGCCTAATTTCCCTTGCTGTATAATGCTGTTATGCTTCTAAGCATATTTGCTTATACAAGTATTTCTCTTCATTATCCATTAACATTGTTGTTACATTGAGTATGGAATGTCAGCCTGAATTCACTCTTAGCAGCAAACTCACAATTCTTACAAAAATAAGAGAGGATATTTCTCTCCTGTTTATGTTTACCCTTTACTAAATCTCATCTCTTTGCTTAACTACATGTAAAATTGCTTTACTTGCATCATTCTGGAAGTTAGACGTCTTGAGGTTAAGTATTTAAATATCTGTCTGCTAGTCCTGTAACCTGAGGGGTATATTAAACTTTTTCTTCTGCATACCTGCCTTTGGATGTCCAGATAAGTCTTTGGTGACTCCGGAATGGCGTTTTGCTGCTGTTTTTCTGTTGTGTAGTTATGTAGTCTTTTGGTTTGTTCCTTGGCCTACAACCATGTGCCTTTGGGCTATAATCTCATCAGCTCTTGCAGTAAGGCAAGGTCAAAACAGGTCAGTATTTACTTGGAAAGTTTTCAAGTGAAGTTAAGAATTTGCAGAAGTACTTTTGTCATTCTTCCTTTAGAAATAGTATATCTGGGTTTTAGAGACTGTTTTGCTACTCTATGTCCTTTTGATCTTATTTAAAACAAACCTGTTTGGCTGTTTTTTTCATTCCTGAGTCTCTTTTGTGAAGTTTGGAGTAAGATACCTGGCAAGTTACAATTTGGATAACTACTTCTTAGCAAATGAAAAGTCCTTACATGGATGTAAAATAGATATGATAGCCTTTTTTTTTTTTTAGTCTGTGCTGTATTGTTTCTTGTTGAGGGAGCTATTTCTTTATATGAAGACCTTTCCAGCAAGTTTGTTTATTGATGCATATTTTTATGACATTGTTAGAATTAATGAAAGAGATTCAATTCATTTCCACTTAAAAAACATGATTTCTTGCAGAGTCCGTAGCTCGCTCCAGTAAATTGCTCAGCTGGTGCCAGCGGCAGACGGATGGATATGCTGGTGTAAATGTGACAGATCTCACAATGTCATGGAAAAGTGGCCTAGCTTTGTGTGCCATTATCCACAGATACCGTCCAGACCTGATGTAAGTAACAGATTGTTTTGAAAAACTGGGAATGACAAGAATGTTGGTCATATTTGAAAATAGTAATTTGGAGATCTTAACGATACATTTGTAACTTTGGAAGAAAATCGATTGAAATAAATACAATTACATTTGATGAAGCTAATGTACAGTGATTCACTAGCAGACTGGAAGATCGTAAAAGCTTGTTGAAGGAGATAAATGTGTTATTTCCCTCCTGCATGATTTGATGGAAATAAACTGCAAGCTGGTACTTACTGGAGTTCATTATTATCTGACAACTATTTGTTTTGCGAAACTAGTTTATAGCCTCAGTTAAATTTCTTGTGAACAAATCTGTACTTAGCCATTTATACTTTGATAGTAACTCATTATGAAGATTTTTAGACTACTTTTCTAGAATTAGTAATCTACAGTCTGAATACAGTCATTGCTGCCATTTGTGCAACTAACATGTTGAATGGATGGATGAGAGAAACAGTCTTAGTCCATTCTATGTTGGGTAAAAGATTCTAGAATGGGAAAAAAAAAGTGCTCTTGGCAGACATAATTACCAGTAGCAAAGACTCTGATAATTTGATTCAAATCTGGAACGACCTCAACTTCCCAAAGGGGCATTAGAAAATCTAAGTGCTAGCAGTGTAATTAAGGACATAATCCAGTGTAAAGCATGCTAAATAGTTACTTGGTTATTCCCTTCCATACTGAATTACTTCTGTGTTGCACTAAAGTTAACCTGAGCTACTCCTTTTAAAAGCTATATTGCTTGTGAGAGTTCAAGTGAAAATAACAAGTTTTGGAAGAGCCAGCAGAACTGAAATATAGATCACCCCCAAAAAATGGGGACAAAAACAATGTACAAAGATAATAAATTTAAAAACAATAAAGAAATTAAATTTAAGAGGAAAAGATACTCTGGAGTTTCAGAATAGAAACTGGAGATGGACTTCTGAGTTCTTTCAAAAGACTTTTTGTACGTGATTCAGTGCATGCCCTCTTCCTGCCCCTTTGCAGAGACTTCGATTCTTTGGATGAGCACAACGTAGAGAAAAATAACCAACTGGCCTTTGACATCTCTGAAAAAGAGTTTGGAATATCTCCCATTATGACTGGAAAGGAAATGGCATCTGTTGGAGAGCCAGATAAACTGTCGATGGTGATGTACCTTACGCAGTTCTATGAGATGTTCAAAGACACCATCCCCTCTAGTGGTAAGGAGTTTGGGGCAGGTCCTTCAGATTTGAAGACAGCTGCAGAATGGTTTGGGGGCACTTAAGCTGTCTTTGGGCTTCTCTCACACGAGCTCATCGTTGTTACTCACTAGTTAATGAGTGCAAAATAATGTCCTCAAAACTTTTAAATGAACTTCTAGACAACTTTTGTGATCTTTTGCTATTACTAGAGCTTTATCTGTACATGGACGTAAGATGCCTTGCTAGCAGTTCTTTAGTAGTTAGTTTCAAGGCATCGGCCAAATTTTGTATCTTCTGTTTACCATGTTTGGATGGTCTCTATTTTTTACAGAGAGTTTAAGGACAAAGGTTAAAAAAATTGCCTTTTGGTTGTGTGTTTAATAATGACACCACAGAAATAAAAGCTTAGCATTCCCTTCTCCCACTTATTTTTGCTAACAGACAAGCTGGACCTGAATGCAGAAGAAAAAGCTGCCCTGATTGCCAGTACCAAATCTCCCATCTCTTTTCTCAGCAAGCTGGGACAAAGCATCTCTCGGAAACGCACTCCGAAGGTACCATACCACAGTCCTGATTACCCTTTTGTCTGTTAGGCTGCTGTCCAATTAAGTGTTAATAAAAATGGCTATGTGACTGCATATCTGCTGTGTATCAACAAATGACCCTGTGTTTGTCAGCTGTTGGTATAGGACAGTGCATAACCATTCTAATTGCAGAATACATACAATTAATGGTTTACTTCAGTCTTAAAATCCTAGCCTTGTGTTAGGATGTGTGGATGCTTTGTATTAGAACATAACTGGTACTTGATTCCAAACCCACTGAACGATTGTCAGGTAGAATTTCTAATACAAAATTTGTTTCTTAAACAAATGAGCCCAGAGGATTAGTCTGTTGTGTTGCAAAAGTATATTTAAACATCCTGATGGTGTTTGTCTCAGTCCAGAAAGGTATGAGAATCCTTATCTTTGTTCTTTTTTTTCCTCCTTCTATTTTCAGGACAAAAAGGAAAAAGAACTAGATGGTGCAGGAAAGAGGAGGAAAACAAGCCAGTCTGAGGATGTAAGTATATGAGAGGGGAAGTATTATAGAGAAAACAATGTACGTGTAAGTTTCTTGATCCAAATTCAAGCCTTGCATTTTCTATATCCAGATAGGGTTTAAATGAAAAATTTTAGGTAAGCATAAATTCTTCTTAAGAGATAATGCTTTGCCATACACAGAGTAGAAATATTTTACTGGTACTTGTTAAGAAATAGTATGTTAAAAAATAAAAGTTGCAGTTCCTTTATATATTATCTTGACGACTATTCACTTTGACTTGAGGAGGATGCTGAGAATAAAATGCTAATTTAGGAAAGTGATGCAGTGGAGTCAGAATTTTGTTCACGTTCAAACATCAGCTTCTTCATTTCAAAAGACATACATAGCTAGTATGCTCTGCAAGGCAATCCTCCTCCAATCCACCTATATAGCCAAATAAGTACAAGTGTGATAAAATTTAGAACTTTAAATTGCCATTGAGGATTTGAAGGAGGTTTTACTTTATGCCAGTATATTCATGGAAGTGTTTCATCTGTGGTCTCTTTGATAGGTAAATGTATCAATTAAGATGGTTAAGATAAGGAAAGTTTATCAGAATTTGGTGACCTGGCCAAGGAAAATTAAAATGTAGGTTTTGATATGCAAGCTAATGTTTGTTTGTTTGTTTTTTTAGATAGTGTTAGAAACCTTTTACAGCAGAAGGGAATAGAGGAAAAGGTGGTCTGAATATGTTAAGTTTTCATTCTCTTGATTGTTAGGAGGACATCCCTCGAAGCTACAGAGAAGAAAGGCCCACACTGGTGAGCGCCCTGACAGAGAGGAGAATTGATGCTGCCATTGGAAATCAAAATAAAGTGAAGTCCATGGCAACCCAGCTACTGGCCAAGTTTGAGGAGAATGCACCCATGCAGTCCTCAAGCTTGCGGAGACAGGTAGGAGAAGGGTAGTTGAACCCTCATATTGTAGAGCAACAAGATGCTAATAATAACACTTCTCAAGACTGGATGCTAATGGTGCTCTTTTGTTTCAAGTAAGATTGAAGCTTATGCAAAAGAGGCAATTTCTTGATTTAGGAGTATGAGTTGGGGAAAAATTTCCTGACTGAAGTCTAGTTCACTATTAGTACTGGTATGTATTATGCAATCTCTTTCAGAAACAACTTAAAAACAATTAGATTTCTTTTCTAACTACTGCCACTGAAAACCTTTCCAGGAACATCCCATTTTTAATGTTTAAGAACTTTCATTTAAATTCTGATTTCCATTTTTTTTTGTGCAAGTTATTTGTTCTTATGTACTGAGCCTCCATATTTTTATGTGTCTGTGAGCAATTCAGATAAATGCCTGGGAATGCAATCAGAATATTTGTATCATTCCGAGTGAAGCTTCCTGGTGACTATTGGTTATTCAAGATGGTATTTGAACTACTTCAACTGCAAGGAAGTCATCTTTGAAGTTAGATTGAATCACTCCAAGATACTGCTAGCAGTGCATCCTCAGCAGTTTAAGGCTCAGTATGGTTTAAGTGCCTGGGTTTTTGCCGTCCTGCTTCACAGCTTGTGGCAGAGTCTGTGCTGCCATGACTAGATTGACTGGGATCTAACCCAGCTACTTGAAAGCTGCACGCCAACCATGACTAGATTGACTGGGATCTAACCAGTCACGCCAATGAAAGCTGTACGCCAGTGTCAGTAAGGGAAGCTAAAAGGGTGGCATTTATCTTACTCCTTGCCAGTCGCATGTTTCCTCAGTCAGCACATACTGGCTGAATTGAGAAACAGTGAAAACAAAAGGAATTTCAAAAAAATTCTTGTTTCCCATTTTTGTTATGTCTTTTCCCTTTTTATTTTTACTTGCTAATTCTCCCCATCCATTTTTTTTTCCCTTAAATGTATGTCTGTCTGATTCTGTCTCCCATTCTTTTGGCTTTCTTTGAGTTTCCTTTGCTATTTTATCTTTCTTCCCTGGTCCCACCCTGCTATCCCTACAACCTGCATGCAGCAGCCTGTTCTGCCTTATCAAGAACGTGTTCACAACCAGCCATCCAGCAGACGAGACCAGGGCCGTCTTGCTTCTGTGCCCCAGTGGAAACAGGTAAACAAATTGATTATGCATATGATGCAGTACCCACACTCAATACTAGCTATCACTATCCTAGCTATTTTTAAACCATTGCTTTTGAGCACCTTTGAGTGAGACTGCTGTTTTAAATCATTTAATTAATAACGAGTAAAACCAGAATCTTCGTCAGGCATGATTTAATATTTCATTAGGACTTGGCAGTCAAAGATACCCTGTCCTCTTGCACCATTTTCAACTTCCCAGGGTTTCAGTGGCTGTTTGAACAGAAATCTTGATTATAGATGCAACTCAGTGTAAATGTTTTGTCTGAGGTATTCCTATTAGAAACAAACAAACAAAATATATAGGCAATTTCCCCAACCAATAAGGTTAAAAGTGTCATGTCATCTGTGGCAAGTCTTTTCCTTGATAAGCGTTACTGAGTCAACAGAATATGGGGTTCTAGGGTCCAGCTCTTGTGCTGGATTTTGTTGTACTTTTCTTCTGACCGTTAAAATAGGGAAGAATAAAAATGGATTTAAATGATGTAAAAACAACAGGATACAGCAGGATCAAAGAGAAGATTGATAAGGTCTTTATTTTAAAGGTTCCTGAGGATTTGCCTGGAGAAATAACAGATATCGGTTGTCTTAGTTCAAAAGCCATAAGAGTACATAGGAGTGTTTATTCAGAGATCAGCTGAGGCAAAAAGCAAAAAAGCAAAAAGCCCACAAGCCAGCTTTGCCAAGTTTGAACAGAAAACTGTCCGGATGGAAGCTGTTGCTGTAGGGGTCCCTCAGCAGGCTACTGAGAGTCCTAATTCTGGTTGCTGAGGCACAACAGAATCTGATAGCTGTGAGACTGCACATTACTGCAGTACTGTGGTGGCTCCCTACAGTGACACCAGGCCCTCCAGCTACAAAGCTGTTTTCTGAGTGAAGTTGGTACTGGGTACCAATACATGTTACTGGAGATGATGTAAAGCAGTAATATTGCTCCTGATAAGCTCTTAGGAGCTGTTCGTGAAGCTGTGGGACAGAGTTGTTCTGCATCTCTTCACAAAGCAAATGGATCCTACTGTGAAAAGTCGAAGAGTCCTTTGAAGAGAAGCGAGGGAGGCAATTCCCAGCTGGATAAAGTGGTAACCTGTTCTTGAGGGAAATCAGATAGTGCCTAAGGTTCTTTCCAGTAGGCAGAGGGGACTGGAGGGTTCTGGTGAGGAAGGCAATTTCAGGCCTTGTGATTGACAGGTTTGGTTCTGCATGGTTGGAGCTGCATGGCAGAGGAAGATATACTGCAAAAGGAGCAAGACTAATTGTGTGGGAGAAACCAGACAGTTGCAGGGGAAGTGGTCTGGATTGCTGCTGGAAAAACTACATGTGCCTTGGGCTATGATCTTCAAGTGTCTGTCAGATGGACTTCATTAGGTTTGCTTGATTATTGGTTTAAAGTCATATACTTGTTTTGCCCTGATGGAAGGCCAGCAGTTTCAGTTTGTGATGCAAAATATCTCTGGGGTTGTTACAAAGGTGGGGCAGGGACAAGCTGGTAAAACAGAACTTTGAGAAAGGGAGAAATCCTGGCAGAATCTGTTCTGAAACAGTTTTTACTTTTATTGTAAGGCCTTTATGCTATCTGTCTTGTAAAAGGAATACCTTGAAAAGGACCCAGAATGATTAAAGCCTTACCCATCTGCTGCTCTCCACATTTGTAGTGGTCTGTGTCTTCCTCAGGAATTGAGTTGGAAATTTTGCTTTATTGAACTACACCTTGAGAATTCTGATCTGTGGATTCATGGCATCAGGATCACGCCAGCAGCAGCTAATAACGTATGAAGATGATGTTATGTGTATATCCACAGTTAAAATATTTATTTTTTAATGCGATTTCACTGTTGTCTAAAAAAAGGGATTGTTTCATGTAGTGTGGCTAAGCTTCTCCAGTGAACTCATAGTAGTATAAAAACAACTCCTACTGTATGTGCTTTTTGGAAAGTGCACCTCATCAGGGAACATTGTAAAGCCTTGTGGCCTGTCTAGAAGAGGATCTGACTGCTTCGGTATGGTATAGGATACTAGCCTATTAAGCAGAATTTTGTTTTGAAGTTCCAGACTCAGCATGAGTCTTGAGGGTGGGTTTTTTTTTTCCCTTTTTTTTTCTTTTTTTTTTCCTTTTTTCCTGTGGTTTCCTTGTCTCCTAACAGCAGCAAGGTATGTGGATAGTAAAGAAGCTTTCATTACTTACATTTACAAAGATGCTTATAAGATAGAATCATAGAATCATAGAATCATCACTTTCATCACTTTCATCACTTACATTTACAAAGATGCTTATAAAATGGAGATTACATGTCTTCCTGGGCAATTTTCTTCTGCTTCTAGAGTTCTGATGTGTGTTCTTCTGAGATGGTTTCTTAAAAGGTAGCAGAGATGCAGCTGCAAAAACTCTTTTAAGTAATGCTATTGGAATTCTCATTTTTGAAGATATGTAATGACTGAGATGACTGCAGTTAACAGGATTTGAAATCTCAGTGGAAGATAACTTTAAACAATGTTGATTTCCATGAACGCTGTTTCTCTTAATTTCATATTTAAAACTGTTGATACTTCTTTATCTCTTCTTTCCTGTAGCCATCTTTGTGCATACTCAGAAATGTATCCTACTGGAGGGCTGAACATAGGCCTACTCCACTTCATTATACAGTGTTCTGATATCTGCCGTGGAAAAATATGCATGTTTGTGAAAATGATTTAATCTGAAATACAAACTAGGCTGTGGGCAGATGAAAGTGCATAAGCATCTGCAGTGGTAGAAGATGTTATTGCCCTTCTGTTAGAGATTAATACCTTGACAGCTGAGCCTTTTGAAACAGCATATAAGTGCTCCTCCTCTACTTGAGTGCAAAGTCATATGGCTTAGTTTAAACTGCTTGTAGCATCTGTTGAAATTAGGATAGTTGATTTTTGTGCTGAAGGGGAAGAGTACAACAGAGTCAAACAGATGTTTGTACCAGCTCATTGGTAAGGTCAGTGATGAACATATGTAATGTCTTTAAAGTTCGTGCTGTTTCTTAAGAGGTTGTCTAATAGTGGCTTTAAATACCCAAGATTTCTTTTTGTAGTACAACTATTTCCGGATATGCTGGGGAGAGAATTGAAAAATAAAATAAAATAAAAATAAAAACAGGGAAAAGATACATGAAAAATGGAGTAGTGATGGAAAAAGAAAAAAGATTGCATTGTTAGAACTAGAATGGCATGTGCTCTGGCATATAAACTAGGACATACGTATAATGTGTGATATTCAGATTATTAGTTGTGGCTACATTTCATTTATAAAATGGCTATATTTATTTTCTAGTAGAATGACACCATACAATTTAATTTCCTTTATATATTTTAATCTCTGTGAGATAGGGAGAATTGAGTCAAAGCTGAGAACAGAGTGCTGTGACTTGAACTTTTTGCTGATGAACTCCAAGAGTAATTGGGCCAACAGGATGGATATTTTTAATCATTACAGAGTAGAACAATAAGTAGTTTTTCATGAAGCAAAGAGAGCTGCTTGGATACTTCTAGGCTGTCCATTTCAATAATCATAAGATTTTGGGTCAGTTGATGCACTTCTGAGGTTGTGGCCTGTCTCATTCAAAGCTATTTGTAATGTTACCTTAGCTTTTATATACTTACTATGATTTTTTTTCTTTCTCTGTTTAAAAAAAAAAAAAAAAAAAGATGAGGACTAAGGAACGTTCTCGGACCTGCCCCAAAAAAGTGATCATGCTCTCTTCTTCCACTCCACCTTCCTCTCCACCGTATCTCAGACAGCAGGTGATTCCCTCCGCATGCTCTGTCCCTCTTTCTTCATTACTGTTTGTACAAGTGACTAGATCAGTTACCAGATATCCCATTTCCAAATGCATTTTCAACTTTCTTTATTCAGATAGTGATAGGACTCTTGAAGCTCTTAAATTAAAAACGTAAACCAGCATTAAATCAGCAGAAATATCCTTATGATGGTTATCTGATGCATTATAGATTCTGAGATTTTACTGTGGGATATTTGTAATTAAAGCAGCTGTTTTCCGTTTTAAGTAGTAACAGGGCAGAAGTGAAATACAAGGGCAAAGACTTCCCCTGAAGTGCATATATGCACTGTAAAATTCAGGAAGAGTGCTTCTGTCTAAGCATTACATCTTGAATCTATATTGCATATATATCTTTAAGTGTCCAAAAGCTTTTTGGGACAAGTGACGTTTCGGACAAGTGAGGTTAGTAGCACAGGGACAGAAAGTGCAGCTTTAAACAAGTGTTACTGAGAATTTGCGCTTGTATCCATGAAATTGTTTCAGGATTATTTGTATGAAGTACCTTCTTGAGACTTTTTTAATAGTATGGACTATAGTATGGTCCAATTTGGTCCTTCTCTTTCCCCCTGTGTCTTGCAAAAGTTTGTGTTCAGTGTCTCTGAATTTTAATATGGAGTAGGAATAGCTGTTCTGAACATCATATGTAAATGTGCTTCCAAATGTGTGTGAGCAGATATTTGTTGTTCTTCTATAGTTATATATTACCTGAAATCTTTTAGTATTTGTGTTTTCTTGTACATGGTCATTGCACTTTCGAGCAATATCAATTTCATCCTTTTTTATTTTCATTTTAAAAATTTTTTATTAACCTCTTTTCCTGCAGTAGTAGATTCCAATCCTTCCTGATCAATCTTGAACTAATCCTCAGGTGATAAAAAGGCAGTTGCAGTTCCATGGACCGCCCGTAACTTTAAATAGAAATTGTACAGATAAGTTTCCCCATAAATGGAAAACATTTCTTCACTGAACTCTTGAATGCCTGTAAACTGTGTAAAGGCATGTCACCTTTTAGCCAACTCAGAAAAGGTCATTTTGGGGCATAAAGTCTGTTTTGCCTTATTGCTCTTATACCTCAGAGTGTAGTTACATATTACATTTAGTGTGATCTAATTTAGTCCATCCCCAGACCACACATTCTCTGCTGACTATCTTGTGTCAGGTTGTG